GGGGGCCTGCACTCCTGGTCTGAGGGAGGAGGACTGGGGACCTGGACTCCTGGGTCTGAGGGCGGAAGAAACTTGGGCTCCTGGGTCTGAAGGAGGGGGACCTGGGCCTGGAGAATGACCCTCTGTCCACCCCCTGGGCTCCAGGACACCATGGCTGAAGCACATCAGGCCGTGGGCTTCCGCCTCTCGCTGACCTCGGACGGGGCGGAAGTGGACCTTAGCGCGCCTGTGCTGCAGGAGATCTACCTCTCGGGACTGCGCTCTTGGAAAAGGCGGCTCTCCCGTTTTCGGGTGAGGAGGGTCAGCCGAAACCCGGCTACCTGTTTCTAGTACCCCGAGATCTCCCAGTGTGGAGGTCCTACTTCTGGGATCCTGTTAGCCCCCTCTGGGGATCCTAATGTCCAGTGTTAAGAGCCTTCGAGCCATCTTGTGGTCTCCCCCCACAGTTCCCGTGGGGGAGTGCTCCCCTCCCCCTTTTATTTCCAGCTTCTAGAAGATGTTTCACATCCCAGAAATCCTTGCCAGCCCCCCCATCCCCACTGGCGGTGTCCCAAGCTTTCTGGTGGCCCACACCCCAATCCTACAGACCTCTCCTTTCCCCAGAGCTTTCCCTGAGCCTGGGAGCCCTTTCCTGCCGCTCCTGAACCCCAGGATACCCTGGGCTCCCCCTCTGGTTCCCAGATGTCTGAGCTCAGTACCCACCATCCTATCCGACAACCCTTGCTGCCCCAGCTCCGGAAACAGCATCATCGCTATCTGGGGGCTCCCCCCGGCCCACAAACTCTGAACAGGTGAGGACTGGGGCCCTGTGAACCGAGATTCAAGGTGAGCTCCACTACTTTCTAGCCATGTGGCCTTGGGCTTGTGCCCCTCTCTGAGCCTCAGTTTCCCCTCATGGGTGAAGAGTTAAATTAAAAAAAAGGGAGATGATGCAACAATGATGAGAAATACCACTTTCCTCTAGTTCCTAAAGGTTTCCTCCCCGCTCCCACTACCATGACTCGAATTC